AATCATTTCATACAAGTTTCATGGTACTTAATAGGATTGTCAGAGGGCCAGCTGTGGTAGCACACACCCTTTTATTTTTAAATTCTGGTAGTCAGTACGTTACACCTAGCCCATTATGTGCCAAGAGGAAGGAGAGAGACAACACTTACGGGTTCCAAAGCCTTTTTTTTGTTGTTTTTTTAAGACAGGGTTTCTCTGTATAGTTTTGCGCCTTTCCTGGATCTCGCTCTGTAGACCAGGCTGGCCTCGAACTCACAAAGATCCGCCTGTCTCTGCCTCCCGAGTGCTGGGATTAAAGGCGTGCGCCACCACCGCCTGGCTCAAAGTCTTTAATAAATCACCACATAAGCAGGGCGCTGATGGATCAGGGCTACAGGACAAGGGAGCCTTGTTTCTCCTGGCAGCCCCAAGCAGGGGGAGAAGCAGGATTTATAAGCACAAAAACCATAGGCATTTGTTGCCAAGTTACTGTTACATTTTTCATCAATCAGAAGTCAGAGATTAGGGACTTTCCTTGTGTATTCCATCATTGTCAACAGACACAAAATGTAAGACTTTCAATCCAACCAATGGGATTCATTTGTTCTTTCTGTTGTTAGGAACAGCCACAATGTCTTAGAGAACTAACAGGCATAACAGACTGTTCCCACTGTATAAGGAGGAGGTACGTCAGCTATTGGAAGGTTCCCAGCTCCCCTAGGGCCCAGGAACTTGAACTGTGTTTCACCCTACAGGTAAAATGGAGCCTGAAGTCAAAACGGCAGTACTTAGGCCAAGGTGCTTTTGTCTGCTCCCTTCAAGTGGGCAGAGACAGATAGATCTCTGTGAGTTGGAGACTAGCCTGGTCTACATGTCAAATTCCAGTATATCCAGGGCTACATACTGAAGACCGTCTCAGAAAACAATAACAACAACAATAAACAAACAATCAAAAGTATTGTCATATATGTTACTTTATAGCATTACCAGACAAGAGTTTCCTCTTTAGTCTGCCTAATTAGTCACCAAGCGCTTGTATATTGTACAGTATATCTTCAATTTATACAGAATCCTAAGTAGGGATACAATCCAGGATGGACACAGAAGAGCAAAGGTATCTTGTTTAACTCCTTGTCTCCCAAGTGCTGATATCATGTTATAGGAACCAGGCATTAAGAGGAATATATGACTCAAGCCTGACTTAAAGTCTCCGGATTACACTAAACTAGGGATGGGAACCCTGGCGAATTGTAAACTAGAGAATATATACCTCCATGAAAAAAGTCCATATAAAGCAGGATATGCTTAACACCAGATACTGAAAGCCCAGTGAAAATAATTCTGCCTCAGCCTCACCATCTAACGTATCGAGAAAGCTGGGTAAGAACCAGTACAGGTTTATTAAATATTAGCTAAATGGAATCTTCAGTGTAGCCTGGGCTATAGTTAAGACCCTGCCTAAAAAAAAGTCAAAGCCGGGCGGTGGTGGCGCACGCCTTTAATCCCAGCACTCGGGAGGCAGAGGCAGGCGGATCTCTGTGAGTTCGAGGCCAGCCTGGGCTACCAAGTGAGCTCCAGGAAAGGCGCAAAACTACGCAGAGAAACCCTGTCTCGAAAAACCAAAAAAAAAAAAAAAGTCAAAATACAGGAAAAGTGCATAGAAAGAATAAACCTCCACCCTTCAGAGTGAAGCAGGCAAGCACAACAGTTCATTTAGCCTGTAACTGTATTCAGCTTGGGTTATGCAGACCCCTCTTCATGGTAAAGCACTTAGCAACCTAGTCCTTTCACCTGTATATGCTATGTATGCACACACCTCCGAACAATACACCCAACTACCTCCAAATGCCCTCAGACTGGCATCTGCATCAGGCTATTCATACACCGACCTCTGAACAGTAAGATAAATGCCTGTGCCCTTAACAATTAAATTGAGGCTGGGTGGTGGTGGCACACACCTTTAATCCCAGCACTAGGGAGGCAGAGGTAGGCAGATCTCTGTGAGTTCGAGGCCAGCCTGGGCTACAGAGTGAGTTCCAGGAATGGTACAAAGCTACACAGAGAAACCCTGTCTCGAAAAACCAAAAAAAAAAAAAAAAATTAAATTTAGATAGTTTCATGTATTTCCGATGCAGTTAAGTAAGTACAAAGCATAGAAATGTGGTCTGACTTCAACTGGTTTTGAGTATATGTGCGGTAAAGGCAAAATTGTATCAAGAAGTTTTGAGGGAAAATCCCCTACTGACCTTATTATGTCTATTCATAATTTGGACATATATATGATTAAAATCAGATGAGTTATTGGAAAGGGTATGTGTAGCATAAAAATGATGATGTAATCTGTCAATCAAAATAGAGAGCTGCCTATACTACACCTGTTAGCAATCATAAAAGGAAGCCACAAATAGAGAGGCCTTAGTACCCTCCCTCTGGTGCACTGCAGCTTTCCTGCAGGGCATTCTAGTCTTCTCTTTTCTTCTTTTTGTTTTTCCAGACAGGGTTTCTCCCTCCATGTAGTTTTGGTGCCTGTCTCTGCCTCCTGAGTGCTGGGATTAAAGGCGTGTGCCACTGCTGCCCGGCATTCTAGTCTTTTCTATTGCTTTGCTTTGAATAAAATCTCTTTGCTACTTCTGAACCTGGGTGATTTATTATTTTCAATTTTGGGGGAAATAGGGTGAAAACGGAGAAACACTGGACTCCGACCACCAGTCACAAGCGAGTGCTTAACTTGGTAGCAAATGGGATAGACCTGGGTCAGGAAGGGAGTCCTTGTCTTCAACTCTATTAGGAATGTCATATTTCCGTAGCAGACAGCAGATAATTCTTTATATCAATTTATATACACTATGCCCGCCAGGGGTTGTTTTTGTTTTAGTTTTGAGACAGTGCCTGGCTAACGTTGCCCTAACTGACTTGGACTCACATGACTCGGGCTGGACTCCCACCTGCCTCCCCCTCCAGATACTGGGATTATAGACTTGAACCACCATGTCCAATTCAGTTTACAACTACCTTCTATGTGTGAAATGTCAAGAGGAGTTGGAAGTGTTGGGATGACACAGGAGGAACTCAGATGCCAATTTCCTATGATTTGAGACTGAACCTTGACTCACTGTCAATATGAAATCCATACCTTCTCAGAGGAGATCTTCCCAAGCAAGTCTACTTGGTACAAAGCAGTCACGTTTTCTTTTCTTGAACCAACATTGACGTGTCCACTTCCGGTGTCATCGCTTGTCAGCAGCTCAACATTGTTCCACATGTTTTTGAGATTGTCTGTGAGGAAGGAACCACTCTCTTTCCTGGAACAACACATAGAGTTACAGACTAAATTATCTTTGTTCATAGAATTCAGTTATTTGAGTAATGAAGTGTTAATCAAAGAACAAAAATTAGTATCACTACATTAAAACTTAACTTCGAACTGGACAGTGACACTCGGGAGGCAGAGGCAGGCGGATCTCTGTGAGTTTGAGGGCTACAGAACGAGATCCAGGACAGCCAGGACAGTTACATAGTGAAACCCTGTCCCAGAAACAAAAACAAACAAACAAAGAGGGATTTAGGTTTCAGGTTGTATATGGCACTGGGGTGGAACGGAAAGTTAGGTGCATGGCAGACAAGTGCTCCAGCCTGGCTACACCGTCTGGTTTCTACCTTCATCCAAAATGACACCAGAAACCCAGGTGAGACTGTAACACTCTCGTTAACAAACACAATTCCTATCACCTGTGATCTAGTGGACCGAAATATTAAGGTAGAAAATGTCCCTAGCTGTGAAGATCTGAGGGAAGGAAGGTGCTGCAGATGGCTTATCAGTTCAAAGTGCTTGCTGCTCCTCCAGAGGACCAAACCTCGGTGCCCAGCACTGACACCACATGGTTGACAACTACTTGTTAACTCCAGCTCCAGGAGATCTGATGACCTCTTCTGCACTCACACACACACACACACACACACACACACACACACACTTAAAATAATAATAATTTTTTTTTAAAATCTATGAGCAGGGCAGTGGTGGCAAACGTCTTTAATCCCAGCACTTGGAGGCAGAGGCTGGCAGATCTGTGAGTATGAGGCCAGCCTGGTACTACAGAGCGAGTTCCAGGACAGCCAGGGCTACACAGAGAAACCCTATCTCAAAATAAATAAATAAACAAACAAAGTGGAAGACGGCGGGAAAGAGCTAAGTCTTTAAGACTGAATTTTCTACTTGGTGCATGGAAGCGAACCGGTGATAAGCACAGACTTTCGGCATCACTGACTGAGGGAGGAAAAAAAGGAGCCAATACAGTATCGTGAACGAGAGGGGGCGGTGGTGGCGCACGCCTTTAATCCCAGCACTCGGGAGGCAGAAGCAGGTGGATCTCTGTGAGTTCGAGGCCAGCCTGGACTACAGAGTGAGTTCCAGGGCAGGCTCCAAAGCTACACAGAGAAACCCTGTCTCGAAAAACAAACAAACAAAAACCCAATACCATGAACGAGACAGAATACAGTCAGTGAAGCCATCCACGAACGCTCAGAGGGCCAGCCGTCTGGAGTCACCTCCAACTTTCCCCCGCGCCAGTCTACAGGGCGAAAAGCCCCGAAATGGGCGGAAGCCGCTTCTGTTTTCACCTGGCCCGACTCCCGCTTCCCTACGGCAGCGCGGCTGACCCTTCTCACCTGCAGCTGAAGACACTAAAAGAGACCTCGCAAGTGTTTCACACTTCTTCCTGACTCACACAACCGCTCCCACTCATTTTAGCTTCCATGCCACTGACTTGAATTGGCGGGAGAATACCGAGCCCAACCCCTCCTACGGGGGCTGGAGGAGGCCAAAATTCTCTCACCCTCGAACTAGGAAACCGCCCCGCCCTAGATCAAATTCAATCCCCGCTTCCCGCGGGTTCCTTCTACGACGTATGCTCGGCCCCACCCACTTCACAGGCCCCAGGCCACGCCCTTCGAAAGTCTAACCAATCACCATCTCGAACCGCGTTGTTATAGAAACTCTTATCACCACCCCTTTTTTCTCCCAGCAAGCTGCGCGCCGCGCCAGGCCTCATCCCTTTTGTGCCATCCGGGTCTCTCGCGCAAGGGATATAGTCTGTGGCGAAGCGTCGGGGCGGCCGGGACTGTTGAGCGCGTCCAGCGGAGGCGCCGCCTTAGCGGCCGGGACTCGAAAACGATGGCGGTAGGTCCTGACGGGAGCTCGAGGCCAGGGCTGGGTTCTGTGTGGGTCTTTACGCGGAGTGAACAGCTCCCGGAGCTGTTGTCCGTGCTTGTGTGTGGACAAGATGGCGCCGCGGCCGCTTTCTGCGCTCGCCATCATGGCTTCCTGCAGCAGGGAGGGGGAGGTAAGGCGGTGGGGATGGGGGTGGGGAGCCGCAGGGAATGGCTCCTTTTTCCAGAACTTTCCTCCTCGCTGCCCTCGCCCCGTGTTTCTTGAGAGGCCCCCCGAACTGTGGGGTTCCTCTCGTGGACCCCGACTGGGGGTTATGTGTCGCGGTGTGATAGGGCTTCTGAGTTTGTGCTGCCGCTGGAGAACTGCGACTGGGAAGGGGAGGAAGGAGAAAGACCAGGAGGCGTCTCTGGAAAGGATCGGGTCAGAAAGGCGGTCTGCTCAAGGGACGATGGATGAGGAAGCAGTCTCGGGCTTTTGAGCGAACCCTTAGTGAGCGGGGTGCTTTGCCTCCTCCTGCTTAGGGTTTGGCGGCGGGGATCTCCTCCTCGGTTGGAGTTGGGATTCTCTTAAAGAGTAAAAATTTGTCCAGTTATCCAGTTCCGTTCCCTGGTACTTGTGCTTCAGGGCGACTCGTGTTTCCATGTTAAGTCTTTGAGAACCGCGGGGCCTTGTTTGAAGACCCCTGTCTTGATCCATATTAAAACCGTACCTAAGTCACCTCTTTGGACAGGAAGCCTGCCCTGGATATTCTATGCCCGTTTTTAATGAATCATATTATCCTGTGATTGTTTTTTTTCTAGTTATAGAGAGATAATATTTTTTGTGAGCATTATGTATTAACCCCTTTTTACTGACTAAAAGGTTTTAACTTCATATTGTAGACAAGGACTGCTCTTCCTGATAATTGGAATATTTGAAAATAGAGTGGTTTTTCTGCAGCTCCCTACTCTTTATGTCTAGTTGAATTTAAAATAATTTTTATGAGGTTTCAAAGAGTAGATAAGCTTTTTTAAATTGTGGGACTGATACTTCGAAGTTGTGTCTTGGACCTCTTAATATACTTCGAGAGTAGTATTGTTTCTGTGCTCCGTAAATGAACTCGAATACTTGGTTTCCGCAGTGTCCTCGACTATACAGGCAATCCCCCGGAGAACTGGCCTAGTATTAAGTATGCTGCTTCCCTTCCTTTGCGCTGGGAAGGCATTGTGTGCTCTGCTTCAGGTAGGGTTTTCAAGATGTAAATTGTAAGAAATGGGTGGCTTTCTCACAGACCCAGCAACTACGTAGAAGGCAGTTTGCAGGCAGTGTTTTTAGGAATTTCTGCTAAACTGAAGTAAAGCTGAGTAGTTTTGCTAATAGGACTTTCTATCTCCCTTGTATTGTAAATATCCTTAGAAAACCAAGAGTTGTATTTCGTCAGGGCCCATCTAATAGTACATGTGTTTAATGGTGTGGGTTTTGTTCTGTAGTGTGTTTTCCATGTGAAAGTGACAACTACTGACCTGTGTCACATAGTGGTTCCTCTGTTGCAGAATAAACATTAGTGGACTAAATGTTGTCTTTTTCTGTAGTTTTCAGTTCTCTGTTGGTTCTCAGGAAAATGAACATATTTACATGGCTATGATCCTAACAACTGGAAGGCTGCAGCAGAAGCTTGAAAAGTTTGAGGGCAGCTGAGAACACATAGCAGGCATCCTCTTAAAGCTTCGATGGGGAGGTGGTGCCTGTGGTTTATGTTTGAAGTGCTTTTTTAGGTTGAGGGAGTATCTCTCAGGCCAATCTGAAATCATCTCTAAGGATAGTGAGAACAAGAATGAAAGAAAATCACTGTGGCTCTTAATGGTGTAGTAGAGCAACATGTATCACTGGTGGGTAGCAAAGACAGAGATATTGCAGTATTTTAGGGGCATCAGCTAGTGTTTCTGGTTGTCAGCTGTAAAGTAAGGTTGACCTTGATTCTGACGGAAGAATGCCTTTCAGCACAAATTATTCCTATCCTGGAAAAAAAGAGCTTGGCTACTGGAATAAGAACTAAGAACCTCCCCTGTAGCTAGTTGCTTCCTTTTTGTTTCTTACTATTCCTATTGAGGTACAGGTGGTAGTTTAGCACATAATTTATGCATTTCACCTCCAATTATAAGTTTGTCCTTTTAATTATGTGTAATTAATTCCTGAGCCATCTTTCCAGCCCCCAAATCTGTCCTTTTTCAAAGTGTAGTTTTATTATTATTGGAATCTGGTACTGGTTTTGACCCATTTTTATACCCGAGTAAAATAAAACACTTCCTTTATTTTGGTACTTGTTTTCTGGACTATTCTTCCCGAGGGAAAAAGTCAGTCATGATTCTTGATGAAGACTGTAGTTATCTTCCCCTGAAGTCCTAAGTCAGAGATTGGTAAACACTTGGTGAAAAGGAGCAGCTGGTGAATACTTGGGGTTTTATGGGTAATCTGCAATCTTTCACATTGTTTGCTTGCTTTACCAAGCTTTTTAAATACAAAAAATTATTCTTCTGGGCTCAATGACATGGGTCTTTAATCCCAGCAGAGGCAGGTAGTTAGGTACCTGAGTTTGAGGACAGCCTCGTCTGCATGATGAATTCCAGGCCAGTCAGGGCTACATAGAGAAACTTTGTCTCAGAAAGAAAGAAAAGAGCACAAGAGTTCTGCAGAAAAGTAATGTTGTTTGCCAGCTCCTGTCCTGAGGCATCTGTTGGCTGGGTGAACAATTTTATTTTCCTTCTCCAGTCAGATACCTACGGTTCCACTACATATGGTTCAGATCAGTTTGTTTGCCAGTGCCTCTTACCAAATTCAAGCAAATGTTGGGTTTGGTGGTATGTATCTGTAATTGCCATTTCAGGGCTTGTCTTGCCTATGAAATGTTATCTCAAACTCAATTCAAGGGAACTTTCAGGTTTTAGTATATACTTGAAAATAAGATACTTTCTATTATTCCTGCTTAAATCAGATCATCAGTTTCTTTAGTAATTTTTGTGTTTGTATCCTACCACCCCCACCCCAAGATTTCTCTCTATAGCCCTGGCTGTCCTGGAACTAGCTCTGTGTTTCAAACTCGGAGAGGTCCACATGCCACTGCCTCCCGAGTGCTGGGATTAAAGGCATGCAACACCGCCACCAGGCAGTACTTTTCTTTTCTTTTTTTGGGTTTTTTGTTGTTTTGTTTTTGTTTTTTTACGAGACAGGGTTTCTCTGTGTAGCTTTGCGCCTTTCCTGGAACTTTGTAGACCAGGCTGGCCTTGAACTCACAGAGATCTGCCTGCCTCTGCCTCCCGAGTGCTGGGATTAAAGGCGTGCGCCACCACCTCCCAGAGTAGTTTTCTTTTTAATTAGAATATTGTAGCATTTCATACATGAGTACTGTTATACATCATTTGCACCCCTCTGTAGTAGTTCTATGGTAAGACATTGTTTGGATTGCACAGTTCTCAGAAACAGGGCTGGTAGTGGTTGGAGATTTTTTTCCAGTGCTGGTGATTTAAGACAGATCTTCACACTTGAAGCAAGCGCTTCTACCACTGACCTACATCTTATACCAGAAATAGCTTTAGTGAGGAGGATACAACTGAAATTCACATCTCGAGCATTTATTCATGGGCTTTTGTGCTGGTTGCTGTTACGAGTACAGAAGATAGGTGGCCTTCTGTGAACTAGAAAGTGACAAGAAACTGAACCTTAGGTGAATCAGGTCTCTGAAAATGTGTGTGCCATTGTATTTTTGTTTTGGTTTTGTAAGTGCTGGGACTTACCTCAGTGATGGAGAACTTTCCTAACAATCATGAAACCCTGGGTTTAATCCATACCACTGCAAAATAAAATTTATATTGTAATATTGCCTATAAAATGCTTTAACGTGGAAACGGCTTGATGTTTCCATAGCCCAGAGCATAAATACGGAGAGGCAGAACATGTTTTGCTGTACCTCTGTGCCAAGGGGATATTTTCATTAAAGAAGGTTAATTAGGTTCTCAGGTAAGGTAATTTTCTGCTTATTCTTTTATAATCTAGAAATGCTCCCTATGCTGCTTTAATATCTTACAGTTCTAAGTACCTATAAACCTTTTAACAGCTTATTCTAGATAGCTTTTTAATAATAATGAACAGCGATTTGATTACTGGCAAGTCAGCAGATTTAATTCACACATCTGAAGTTTTATAGTTTCTTTAAATATTTATTGGAAATGCCAAGAGCCAAGTCTTTTTATACCTGTTACTTTGCTATACATATGTCCACTTGGAAATCAGCCATATATGGGTTTTGTTTTTCTTTTCTGGTAAAACTCAACTGTGTTCATTCCTTGCCCTTTTAAATACCAAGAGACATTGGAAATGCAATTACAAACTTTGATTTTTATTTTTAACTTTTAGGCTACTGATACAGAACGAGATGGACTAGCCCCAGAAAAGACATCCCCAGATAGAGAAAAGAAAAAAGAGCAGTCAGATGTGTCTATTTCTCCTAGAACCTCAAAACATCACTATTCAAGGTCACGGTCAAGATCAAGAGAAAGAAAGCGAAAATCAGGTGAGGAATTTAATGTGCTGAAACATTGCCTAGATAGTGGTGTATTCTGAATTTACTTAACACATTTTAACTTGGTACTTTTTAACTGTGTTGTAGCACCTACATGGGAATGTTTTGTTTTCACTAAGGCTAGAACCCAGCACTCTGTTGAGTAGTCCCTATCATTTCATCACACCAAGCCCTGCAGTGCTCCAAGGACAGAATGGACTCCATAGTAGTTCCAGGCTAACCTAGGCTGAATAGTGAGACAGTGTCTCAAGTAACTACCCTTAAAGGCAAACATTTTGCTATGGAGAGAAAGCAGGCCTGGGGTGACTTTAGTGTGGAGTGCCTGGCTTGCATAAGAGCATTGTAATCAGATGTTTCCTGTCCCCATCTCCTGGTCCCAGATGACCAACTCAGGCTGATTATCACTACTTAAAAATGCTCAGCCAATAGCTCTTAAATGAACCCATGTTTCTATTTATGCTTTACCATGTGACTCATGGCTTGTGGCCTTTTTTGTTTGTTTGGGTTTTGGGGACAAAGTTTCTTTGTATAACAGGCTTGGCTGTCCTGGAACTCACTCTGTAGACCGGGCTAACCTCCAACTCAAAGAAATCTGCCTGCCTCTGCCTCCCTCATTGTGGGATTAAAGGAGTGCACCGCCACTGCACAGCTTTTTACCTCATTTTTCACACGCCTCACGACCGCCCTGACCGCCCTTCTCTCCCAGCATTCTCACTGTGTCAGACTGTCTTGCCCAATCTCTTCTGCCCTGCTATTGGCCAATCATCTTTTAACAATGAGCATAATACACAGCAGAGCCTAACATTGCAGAATAAACGAATAGTGAGAAACAGAAGAGCGGTTAGTTTAAAGGTTGTACTAGAGCTTAGAGCTTAGTCATCAACTGTTACTTGTGTGTATAGATAATTCTCAACAAGATCTTTTTTAGTATGTTTAAATCTGTTGGGCATTGTGATCACATTTAGAGGGAACATTTTCAAGCTTGATATGACATTGTGGGATGATCAAAAATTAAAATCCATCCTGGGATACATAAAACCCTGCCTAAAAAAAAAAAAAAAAAAAGAAGAAGAAGAAAAAGGAAGTTTCTAGCTAACATCCTTTTAACTATAAATCATGTCAAATTTAACCCAAACTAACCCTCCTTTGTGCTGGGATTGTGTGTGCTCAGCCCAAATCTGTTCTAATTTTTTTGTTTTGGGAGTTTTCATGTACACACATACATGTCCATGTATATATGGATGTTTATTTAGTATGTGTATGTGTGGTATATTGTGTGTGAGAGATCTGTGAAGGCCAGGAGTTGACATCCAGTGAGATGGCCTAGTGTGGTGAGAGCGCTTATGTGTAAGCCTGACAACCTAAGTTCAGCCCTCAGAACCCCACGTAAAGGTGAAAGGAGGGAGCCAGGCCTGGTCTGCATAGCGAGTGCCAGTCCCTGGCCAGCCAGGATAACAAAAAGTCATTCTGTTTCAAGGGAAGAGGGAGTGACTAAAAGAAAATGTAGTCTTTGGAAGACACAGCCCTTACTGGAAATTTTGAAAGTAGTGGTTTTGATTGCTTCCCCCCCTCCTCCTTTTTTTTTATTCAAACCTGGACCTTGTTATGAAAGTCCTATACTACGGACTTTTTATTGTTACATAATTATAATTTATGTTTAAGATGTTTGTGTATGTTTATGTTATTTTTGGCTTTTGTGTGTGTTCACAGATAATGAAGGAAGAAAACACAGGAGCCGGAGCAGAAGCAAAGAGGTAATTAACACTTTAGTGAATAGGTACTTTAAAATTCTTGTAAAGTGTCTGGTAGAAATGTTTGTGTGACTATTTGCCATTGTCAAGGTAAGTACCAAAACTTGAAATTTAAAAGGTTAATTGGGTTTTTAAATAAGCATGATTTGGATTCATCATTTTTCAAGAAGATAGTTGTGTGTATAAAAAGTACCTTCAAAAACTATTAACTTTTATTATATTGTGAAAATATTCACAATAAAAAATATCATATGAAGAATAAGCTGGATTTTTAGGCCTGTGATACAGAGCTTCCATTAATCTGAGGTCCCAGGTCTCCTTATCCTTGACAACTGCTCAAGATTTTTAAGTATCAGTCATCTTTATCATTATCCTATTTGTGGGCTACTTTTTCTTCATTGAGTACTGAGTTTCCTCTCTTTTCTTTAGTGAAGCTAGTCCAGTAGTCAGCCTTATGCTATTGCAGTAAAAATGTGAGGGACAGTTGGAGAGGTGACATGTCAGTAGAGCCTTAGGAAAAACAAAGGCGGCGGCAGCTGTACTGCATAGGAGTTAACTTGCCTCCCCCACCTAAGAAGATGAGGACTGAGCTACCCAGGAAGAGAATCAGCAGTGAGAAAGGGAAAAGAGCCTCAGGGGGCTGGGCAAGGGACTCTGAAATCCAATATGGGCAGGGACTTCACCTCTCCCCCTAATGGAAGCTCTGTTAAATTTTTAATTTAGGAGAGTTTTTGTGAAAATGACTATTTTGTTTAGCTCACATGATAACATTTCTATAATAAATCATACTCAGCGTGCTAATGCGCGAAGAGACTGAACTGAAGACGCTGCAGACTCAGATAGCAAAATAATAAGCCTACTTCATGATAAGGTAACTATTAGTCATTCAAACTCCTATTTCCCTTAAATATATCTTAAATCAGTTAAGGGTTTTAATGTTTTATAAAATTAATAGTAATGTTATGTTTGAAAACTGGCTTAAACTCTTAAAGTGTCTGGAATTGAACCGTTTATAAGCATTTCTAGTCTGCCAATATATGGCAGAGTTGAGAAAGTTGTAAGGTCATAGAGAACTGGTCTTGAAACTAAGGTTTAGCTCGTGTCTCCAGGTCTCTTGTTAATCTGCAAGATAAAAAATCACTATGATCATTTTCTGATGTATCATTGTGCATGTTCCTAAATGATTGACTCTACTTTTTTGTTTGTTTGTTTTTTGACTCTGTATTTAAAGTTAACCTCTAGTCAAAAGCAATATGCTGTGGCCTATTTTGAGAAATACCTGTGTTGTGTTACGTTACCGTGGAGAAATGGTAGCCTGAGCAGCAAAGGATGGGGCCCTGGCCCAGTTGAGTTACTGTGCCACTCTGTGTTTTCACCTCTTGTTTATATGAAATGGAAGAACAGTTTAGAGGATCTGAATTTCTCTTAGATTTAAGTTTAACAACCCTGAGTTGTGGGGGATTTAAGCTTTAAATACAAGGTGGCTTTCACATGTTTGGCTTGGGAAATACATAATAATTCCAGATTTGACATTTGAGTGGTAAGGTTGAGATTTGATCATACACTTAAGTTCAAAATATATATTTTATGATGACATAGGAATTGTTACCCCTGGTTTATTTACTTTTTTTGCTTCTCAATTAAAAATGGTAGTTGGTATTTTCAACCGTAGGTTCAGAAAATATAATAGAGCTGTAAGCCTGTTGGGATTGATGCAGGCTGATAAGTGATTGCTCCATGGTTTGTAGACATTGAAAGATAAGCTCTTTGGAGAGAATGGGGCCAGAAAGGAGGTTGGTTGAGGGGGACATTGCTACTCTGCATAATTTGAAATAGCAGTAAGTATTAACTTTTTGTTAAAGTAGACTTGGCTGCTTTTTTTGAAGTGCATTTTGTGAAGAAGCATTGCTTTGTTTTTACCTATTATCTCCTTTTTCGTTTCTTTTTGCTGTTACTGGGGATTAAACCTTGGACTTTATGCAGGCTAGTGAAACACTACTGCTGAGGTACATCCCTCAGTTCCATTATTTTTATTTGTTTGTTTTGTGGTTGGGGCGGGGCGGGGGGGGTGTTTTGTTTTGTTTTGAGACAAGGTTTTTCTCCGTATCCCTGGTTGTCCTGGAACCAGGCTGGCTTCAAACTCAGGTATTTCCCTGCCTCTGTCTCCCTAGTGCTGGGATTAAAGGTGTGTGCCACTACACCTGGCCCTATTTTTTAAACTTGGTAGTGTGTCCTTTGGCTTTGGAATGGGTTTTGTTAATTTTTTAAAAATGAGGATTCCACTTGAACCATGGCTTTCAGTATCTATTTTTTAAATGTTTATTTTTAAAATACTTAGGGAACAAACTGCAATTTTGTATCTTAATCAGAAAATTGTAATTACATATGCAACATTTAGGTGATATGAAACTAGATGATTTTATTTGCCACACATTCCTGCAATTTTGTATCTTAATCAGAAAATTATAATTATATATGCAACATTTAGGTGATATGAAACTAGATGATTTTATTTGCCACACATTCCTAAGGTTACTAATGTTGCATCACAACATTTTTGTTTACTGATACCCATACTAACTCTTTTTGTTGCACTATTTTCCTGAAAGAACCAACTTCTTGTTAAAACAGGCAAGAAGACATGAATCCAAAGATAAGCCCTCTAAGAGACATAAGTCTGAGGAGCACAATGACAAAGAACATTCTTCTGACAAAGGAAGAGAGCGATTAAATTCATCTGAAAATGGTGAGGACAGACACAAACGCAAAGAAAGGAAGTCATCACGAGGCAGAAGTCACTCAAGATCTAGGTCTCGTGAAAGGTAACTAGTTTGGGTGATGAACCTTGGCGCCTTCCAATACCTTTAACTTGTAGAGTATTCCTAGCATTACACACATAATCTTAGGATATAGGCATTTCTCACTACCTTAATGTAGTTCTTTACCAGCTTATATCTAAAGGCTTTTAGAATCTTAGAATATATTTCAGAGAACTATCATGTCCAGAGTCCTGGTATTGAGTCCGCAGCACTGGAGGAAAATCCATTTGGGGCTTTCTCATAAATCCAAAAGTGGCTTCAAAGCCACATTTAATTAGTGGCTAGATGAACTTGAACCTTTTTTACTTGTATTGAAAAGGTTACATTATGGGAACTGGAGAGATGGCTCAAGTGGTTAAGAGCACTGGCTGCTCTTCTAAAGGACCAGGGTTCAATTCCCAGCACCCTCATGGCAGTTCTTAACTGTAACTCCAGTTCCAGGAGATCAGACACCCTCATACAGGCATACATGCAGGCAAAACCTAATGTATATTAAATAAATCTTTTTGTTTTGTTTTGTTTTTTGAGACAGGGTTTCTCCGTGTAGCTTTGTGCCTTTTCTGGAACTCGCTTTGGAGCCCAGGCTGGCCTCAAACTCACAGAGATTCGCCTGCCTCTGCCTCCCAACTGCTGGGATTAAAGGCGTGCGCCACCACTGCCCGGCAAATAAGTCTTTTTTAAAAAAGAAAGAAACAAACAGTTGCATTGTTAAACTTTATTAACCCAAAGACTATTATTTTATAGGATTGGTGCAAAATTTGTTACCTCTTTAACTTCTGTTCTACATTTTCGTTTTTGGTTTGGTTTGGTTTGGGGGATTAGAGGTGTCCAGATCAGGTTTTCTCTGTGTAACAGTCCTTGGCTGTCCTGGCATCTGCTTTGTAGACCAGGATGATCTCAAACTCACAGAGATGCTGAGATTAGAGGTGTGCACCGCCACCGCCTAGCTGTTGTATATTTTTTAAAAGGAGGTTTATTATTTTTTGATTCTGTTACTTTTTTGGTTTTTCGAGACAGAGTTTTTCTGTGTAGTTTTGGTGCCTGTTCTGGATCTCGCTCTGTAGACCAGCCTGGCCTCGAATTCAGAGATCCACCTGGCTCTGCCTCCCGGGTGCTGGGATTATAGGTGTGCGCCACCACTGCCCGGCTTAGTTTTTGATTCTGTAACTGTCCCAGGACTCACTATGAATCTTAGGTTGGCTGCAAACTTCTGGCTATCCTCTTAGCTCAGTCAAGCTAGCATTAAAAGTATGTTCTACCACTAGGCGGGCTTAAAGCTTGCAGTTGTCCCAGTGTTCCTTTACATTGTGATTGTAGGTATATAAGCAACACCACACTAAGCTAGTTAAGTTGTTTTGATGTACTTAATTATTGTTACTATTGGCCAAAAAAGAAAAAAGAAAAGAAAAGAAATTGAATGTATCATAAAACAACATTGTATTATAATATTTAGTCACAATAAAACGGCTTTTGGGCCGGCTGGTGGCCCACGCCTTTAATCCCTGCACTCAGGAGGCAGAGACAGGTGGGTCTGTGAATTTGAAGTCAGCTTGGTCTATGCAGTGAGTTCCAGGACAGGCTCCAAATATACAGAGAAACCCTGTCTCAAAAAACCAAAAACAAAAAACAACTTCTGGAAAATGGAGTTGTTATTCAAATATGTAGCTGGTTGTTTTAATGTCCATGGGTGTTTTGCCTTCATGTATGTGTGTGCCACGTTGTGAATGGCAATAGTGGGTGTTGGGAATCTTCTGGAAGAGAACTGAGCCATTTCTATGGCTCCAGAGTGGGGAATTGTTAGTTTGGGTGTTTGCTTATTTATTTATTTATTTTAAGAAACCAGTGTTTAGTTACATTCAGTGAAGATTGGGCAATAATAGGTGTGATGTCAAATATTTTGGTATGTTTCTCTGTGTAGTTTTGGTACCTGTCCTGGATCTTGCTCTGTAGACCAGGCTGGCCTTGAGCTCACAGAGATCCGCCTGCCTCTGCCTCCCAAGTGAGCAATAATTGTTGGGCAATAATTTGTATGTTTGATACACTTTGACATAAGGGTCAATTTCCTTTCTATTTTGTTTTTTAAAATAAACTTTGACAAACTTGTGTTTAAAATGTTGTGGTTTGCTTTCACCAGTCTGTTCTGTTGTTTCTGATGGTAACAGATACTGCTGGGTCAGTGACAGCCAGTGCATATGCTCTGTAATTTTCATGTGCCCAGTTGAATATTTTTACCTTTGTAGTGATGGAAGCTAGTTTTGGCCAACATAGCATAACATTTTATTTTAAATTAAGCTAAAGCTGGGAGGTTAGTAAGAATGACCGTTTGTGCTCCAGAGTCAGAGTCTACTTGTACTTTTTATAACAAATTGGCATGAAAGTGAATCCAACTACAGAGATGGGGTAGTGCTGGTGGTCCTGGTGGTCCTGGTGGTCCTGGTGGTGGTCCTCCTTAAAGCTATGGTACAGGATAGAGCCCAGCCAAGAGTAGCTGCCGAGATGACTGAGGGTGAAGAAACCCCTTTTCCTAATCTGTAAACAGTGCAGTTTTATGGGGGGGGTTTGTTTGTTTGTTTGTTTATATTTTTTGCTGTCTTGCAGTTTTTGGTTTTTTTGTTGGTTTGTTTTGGTTTTGGTTTTTTGTTAACTACTTTATAAGGTGTACAATGGAAAAGATAATTATGGTCTTGGCGTGGTTACACATGCCTACAATCTCAGCGTTCAGGAATTAAGTAGGACAGAAGTTCAGTGTCTACCTGGGATATATAGTAAGACCCTGTCCTTAAAAAGGAAGGCAATTGTAAGCAAATTCAAAGTTTATGCACTTGAATTTCAGACGCCATCGAAGTAGAAGCAGGGAGAGGAAGAAGTCTCGGTCCAGGAGTAGGGATCGGAAAAAGTCTCGATCCAGAAGCAGAGACAGGAAGAAGTCAAGATCTAGAAGCCGGGATAGAAAACGAAGGATTAGAACACGTTCCCGATCGAGATCCAGACACAGGCATAGGACTAGAAGCAGGAGCAGATCAAGAAGTCGAAGTCGGTAAGTGTTCATCCTGAATAAAGTACAACGTGCTCTTCACTATCCACCTTTTCTCAGTTGTACAGCACATTATCTACTGATTGATCTAAAATATTTTAAATCATTACATCATCAGTAAAAACAAACTTAGGGCCTAGCGGTGTGTCTCAGTGGGCATGCTTATTATGCTTTGTCCAGGGGTTCTGTGCCCTGCACCACAGAAAACATTTCCTATACACATTCTTACACAGCATGTGATTTGAAGGTGATAGGTGATAGTAACCTAAATTTATTATGTTCTTTCTGTTTGGTTTGGTTTTGGTTTGAGATTTGGGGTTTTTTGTGTAGCCCTGAAAGGCATTTGCCACCACACCCAGCAATTGCGTTCCTTTTTTTCTTTTTTTAAATCACAAGAGCTAATATAATACTCTATATTATCAGGCTATTTGGGTTTTGTTTTCCTAATTTACTTGTTTGATTGTTTTGCCTGCATGCATGGTGCCTGAGGTCAAAAGAGGACCATCAGATCCCTTGGAACTAGAGTTATGGGTGGTTGTGGACTGAAGCCAGGTCCTCTGCAAGAGCAGCAAGTGTTCTTATCCACTGAGTCATCTCTAGCTACTGGGGTGAGTGGGTGTGTGGGTGTGTGGCGTACCTGTAGAGGGGCTATCAGCTGTTGTCCTCTATTGATCTTCGAGTTATTTGTTGATTTGCGGACTCAGCTAGGGTGACCTAAACCTCCTGGGGTCTTCCTGTCCCCACAGTCTCAGACACTAGGGTTATAGCCATGCCCAGCTATTTTCCTGGATGGTAGGGGTTTGGATTGGGTCCTCCTGCTTTCACAGCAAGTACTATTTGTCACCGAGCCAGCTTTCTTCCTTTTTAATTTATTTATCATTGTCATTTACTCTTGTTTTATGGTGTGGTTTACATTCCTTTCTGCTTTGGTTTTGGTTTGGTCTTCAAGTTGGAGTCTCTCTTTAGCCCTGGGCTGGCTGCTTCCCCATGGTTTCTGGGATCAAAATTTGTTTTGGAAAAAAAAAAAGACTCAAAGGATTAAAAAAATTGTTTTGTTTTGTGGGTTTTTTTGGTGGTTGTCGTCTCTTTGATTGATTGTTTTTTCTTAGAAAGAGGGTCTTCATTTTCCTCCCTCCAAGTCCTCTTGTATGTCCTTCCTTCTCTCTCCTTCAAATTCATGGCTTCTTCGTCCGTTGTTACTGTGTGCGTAATACCTGTTATTTGTATGTACATATGTATTCCTCAATATAATCTGGTGTAACTCATTTTTAATCGCCTTTCAAGCAGTTAGTTCACTTGGATGTTTTTATTGGTCCAGGTCATTGGCCCGCCCTCCCTTATTTTTTTAAGATTTGTTCTGTGTATGGCTATGTATTTCCCTTGTATGCAGATGTCAGTGGATGTTGGGTCTCCTTAAATACCATGGCCAGCAAATTGTCCATTGCGAGAGGCAAGAAGGAAATCCAGTTCACCTTGGCTCAGTAGCTGGTGTTAGTTCAAACCTTGAGAGTCTGCCATCCAATGGTTTATTTTAGGCATATTTAAGCACAGCACAATTTGGAAAAATGTTTCCTGGTGATAATTAACACAACAAAGCTTAAGAAATGATTATGTTGAAACTCTTGTACAAGTTACATCTTCCATGAAGATTGCTTTGGAAGCAGACTCAAGGGTATGGAGGAAGATAGTGCTGTGCTTGTCTGAGATAAATAATAGATCAAGATAAGGATCTGTGGAAGCTGGTGTTGCCTGGCCATTCACATGGCCCAGAAAGTCACCAGGCTATTAACCATGTATATTCACAGCCTTCTATGCAGAAAACAGGTGTGTTTTCTTAGGACAGTACTGTCCTATTTAATGCTGTGTGTTTAGCATTCCTGGTTTGCCTCCTGTTTATCTTTGAGCACAAGGACCTATATACTTCTTACAAGTGGAAGCCAGAAGAGGACACTAGATTGCCTTTATCTGGGGTTACATTACAGGCAGTTGCAAGCCAGCCAACATTCATGCTGAAACCTGAACTTAACCACTCTTAACCACTGAGACATTAATTCAGCTTAAAATAGTAGGAATATTTGAATCCTCATTGTGTACAGACTAACATGCAGGATTATGAAGCAAATCTTTGCACCACTGAGTATGTAGGCAGAAAGTTGGAAATAGCCAGTATGATTCCAGCTATAACATGGATATTAATTGGCCATATGTGTAAGAAATTGAGAATTACTATGAAAGATGTATTGATAGGGGCTGGAGAGGTTGCTTAGTGATTGAGAGCACTGTCCGTTCTTGTTAAATTCCCAGCACTTGTGGTTGCTCACAACCATGTGGAACTCCCAGTTCAGTGGGCCTGATGTCCTCTTCTGGCCTTTGTACCAAGCATGTAAATAGTACACAGGCATATATGCAGATTTTTTTTTAAGCCTCTATTTTTTTTATTCTTGTTGAGCTATGTAAAGAAAATTAGTTTTTATGAAGATAATTATTGGATGGCCATAATGAGACACAAAATACTGGTTATTTCAGAGATAGAAAGAAGAGGATTGAAAAACCAAGAAGATTTAGCAGAAGCCTAAGCCGGACACCTAGTCCACCTCCCTTCAGAGGCAGAAACACAGCAATGGACGCCCAGGAGGCTTTAGCTAGGAGGTATGTGTATTTTCCATTTAAGTCATTTCTTTCCTTTTCGAATTGCTGTCAATTGTGTAGGCAAATGAATGCTTTTAACTCAGAGGATTATCCTTTCCCCATCCCACCCACCCCCAGAAAATCGAACCATAAATGCTGTTGCACATTGGTAATTCAGAACTACATAAGTAGGTTTTTACTTGGGAATTTTGTTGTCGTTTATTTTTAATTTGCACGTGCAGATAGGCTGAGAAGTTTTTGCCTTTGTGATTTACTGATATTTTTACCATCACTACCCGCATGAAAAAACAAAGATTCAAAGTCTTTTCCTTTTGAAAATTTTGAATTTTAAATCATTCAAGAACCTGAGTTGTCTTTTCCTTTACTTTTTTTTCTTTATTAAAAACAAAACACCTGAACAGAGAATTCTGTCGCTAGATTTTAGTTTTAGTAGATATACATCACAAGCCAATTTATTATCTTGTTGTATAGAGAGAACGTTGCAGTTCCAAAGTTTCTGTTTGACTGTTGGGCAGTTATGTGGCCACATTAGAGCAGGTCTGTGACAGAAATGTGCAGGGGCCAAAGAGCTGCCTCAGGAGGAGGCCAAAAGCCAAGCACCTGTTTGCAATTTTTTGCATATTCTGAAAATTATATTTTTTGGATTTGGGGTTTTTTTTTTTTTCCTTACAAAATTGAGTTTGTATTTTTTTTCATTATAAAAATACAGTTATCACAGTGTAACCTGATGTGCTGCTGCCCTGTGAAGCCAGCCTGGCAGAAACTCCACTGAACAGCAGCAGCAAAGGTGTGAGCTCACCCCTTCTTCATCCGTTCACCTCAGTGAATGGAGTTGGTTCCGACCTGCATTGGCCCTACAAGTGCAACCGATAGACCAATAGTTGTCTTGTTTCAAGCAACAGAGTTAAAAAACCTAATATATAATGGTTTATTAACTTAACACTATTTTCCAAGCATTGAAGTGTACTCTTTCTTACATACTGGCATCTATTATATTTCCTTTTTAATTGTTACTAAGGTAAAGTTATAGGGTTGATATGTTGGTGCATATCTGTAATCCTTGCATTGAGAGGTAGGAAGATCAGGAGTTCAGAGTTGTTCTTGGTTACGTGGATACTTTGAGGGCAGTGTTAGGCTTACATGAGACCCTGTCTCTAAAAACCAAAAAGAAAACCGTTGTTACTACCATAAAGCTGCTTGATTTAGATTATCAGTGATCTTGCTGTTACAGGTAGACAGGAAGCCCTCTAAAAGAAACGTTTGAAGTGTATTGGTCCATGCCTTCAATCCAGTGCTCAGGGGGCAGAGGCAGACAGATCACTGAGTGTGAGGCCACTCTGGGCTACATGGAGAGAGGGGGTCTAGGACGGTGGAGGTCCATGAAGAGTCCCTGACTCCCCAACAAACAAAAAAAACCAGAAAGAGACACATGTAGGTTTCTTTTTTGGTTTTTAAGTGTCAGAATTTAAAGCAATTTTGGAAATATTTTGTGACCTATTAGGTTTGTGACCTATTTTGCTGAATAACATAATCAGAAAGTTATTCTCAAGGATTATAGATTGTAAAACATCTTTTTGTAAATTTAAGTACTTTTTAAAACAAATATCTGTTGAGGATGTACTTCAGTTGATACAGTGCTCGCCCAGTATGCACAAGCCCTGAGTTCCTTGACCCTGCCTAAAATCAGTGTGGCACATACCTAATCCTAGCATATAGATGGAGAAGCAGGAATTGTCTTAAGTTTAAGGTTATTCTCACCACCTGAGTTTGAGGCCATCCAGGACTACATGAGACACTCTCGGGAAAAGAAAAAACCACAAATACCTGTTGACTGTCACTAAAATAGCATGTGTGTCTCAACACCAAAACATAACCATTTCCTCAATCACAGTGGATTTGGACTGAATTAATGAGACCACATGACAGGTTTCTCATTCAAGAACTGAGTGATAACCACTTACTATCTGCTCTGTGGAAAATGAATTTGACAAAACATGGTAATTTAGTGTAAAGTATAATTTGGTAATTCATTTTTGTTTTGTATTGAAATTTTTATTTTATGTTACCAGTTCCCTTGCTAACCATAGATTTCTTGATTTAGTAGATTGTTAAGAAGGGTTTTTGCATATCATCTTATAAACTAAAGATTGCAGGGATCCTTTATTTGTATGGATATAAAATAGACTATTTTTATTCAGGTTCATTCTGCCCTGTGCAGTATATTACAAATATTGTTTTACCACTTAAGCATATACTGTAGTTTAATATCTAGCACCAGTATATGGTTTGCAGGCTTTTAATTTTATCTTTGCTTTTTTTTTTTTAAGCATTTAGGGTGAGAGTTAGAGGATATATAAAAATTTTGCTTTTAACGAATTCAGCAATTATGTAAGAGTAGTCATGGTGGCATGTATCTGTAATCCCATTGTTAGGTAAAGACAGGAGTGTCACAAGTTCCAGGCTAGCCAAAGCTACTTGAGACCCTGTCTGTAAAAAACAGACACACCGAAATTTCTAAACGTTATAGCATATGCTACTTTGGTGAATATGGCAAAGTTTGCATCCCTGGTTCATAGCCTGCTACAGCCCTGCAGTTCAAGGCCAACAAAGACAACATAGCCCTCCCCTATCGTTCTAAAATGAATAATGACTTTTGTTTTTAAGACTTGTGTTGATATACTTATTAACTGTCTGGTACCTAACCTTAATAGGAAGGATATGATTCATTAATTTTAAAGTTCTGTGTATGAAATGTTTGTGTACATACATGAAGATATATACTGGTTTTACATCAATTGTTTTAAATTGTCTTTGATAGGTTGGAAAGGGCAAAGAAATTACAAGAGCAACGAGAAAAGGAAATGGTTGAGAAGCAAAAGCAACAAGAGATGGCTGCAGGTAACTTAACTGGGCATTGCGTGGTTGTAAAAAAAAATACTTGAAAAATCCAGAAAATTGAATAGGAACAATCTTCTCAAAAACCATTTTGTGGCTCTGAGTGGTCACACTCCTTCAATCCCAGCACTGGGAGAGACAGAGCTAAGAGGATTTCAGAGTTCAGGGCCAACCTGGTCTGAATAATGAGGCCCTGTCTCAACAATAGCAACAACAAAACGTGTGTGGGTGTGCAGCCGCGCACATGCCCATATTGAGTATGTGAAGTGAGCACTCAGATGCCGTCCATGGTGACATGTCTAGGTCAGAGGACAACTTGTGGAGTCAGTTCTCTCGTCCTCTGTAAGTTCTGTAGTGGTCAGGTTTTCCTTTTACCCACCAAGCTGTCTCATTGTCTTAAGAACAGATAATTTTTTGATGAGTGAATGATGGTTATTCCTGGTAATAAACCTCCATAGCTGACTTCTTATGTTAGCTTAAGAACCTAGCAAGCACAAGGCCCTGGGTTTGGTTCTCAGCTCCAGAAAATTTAAAAAAAAAAAAAACTTAGAGCCAGATGAATATGGTATCTGATAACCACTTAGGAAGCTCCCTGCAAATTCAAAGCTGTTATATAGCAAAACTGTTTGCAAAAACAAGGTGTAGAAGAAAGAATTTTTTAAGAGAACTGTATTCTAGCAGGGGATGGTGCTTCAGGCCTTTCATCCTAGTACTCAGGAGACAGACTAAAGGCAGTCTCTGAGTTTGTTACCAACATAGTCTACATAGCAAGTTCCAAGCCAGTCAGGTTACACAGTAGGACCCTGTCTTGTAAGAAGAGGAGGGGTTAAGGAGCCAGCTCAGCAGTTATCAGCACTGGCTGCTTTTCCAGAGGACCTGGGTTTGATTCCTAGTACGCACATTGCAGCACAGAGCCATCTGTAACTCAAATTCCAGAAAATCCAGTGCTCTCTTGTTCTTGCACCAGACATCTATGTGGTACACATACATACATGAAAACAAACACTCAAACATTTTTTTAAAGACAGGATTTCTCTGTGTAGCCTTTGCTACCCTGAAACTCACTCTGTAGAGCAGGCTAGCCTCAATCCACCTGCCCCTGCTAGACTTAAAGGCATATGCTGCCACCACCACCCAGCCAAGAATATTTTTCTTTGAAGGTGGCGGCTATGTTCTGGATTGACAACTTATTTGAAGAATCTGGCATGTCTCTAGAACTTGACAATACCCTCTCTTGTGTGTGAAAAATGACTAAATTGTTCTAAATGCTTTAATTAAAATTGCTGCTGGTGGGTCAGGTGGGGGTGGTGCACCCCTTTAATTTAACTTGGAAGGCAGAGCCAGGTGGATCTCTGTGAGTTCGAGGCCAGCCTGGTCTACAGAGTGAGCTCCAGGACAGGTACTAAAACAACACAGAGAAACAAACAAACAAAAAAGCTACTGGTGCTGGGTGTGGTGGTGCACACCTTTAAATCTCAGCACTTGGGAGGCCAAGGGAAGCGGGTCTCTGAGTTCAACACCAGCCTGGTCTATAAAGTTGATGCCAGGATTGTTACACAGAGAAACCCTGTCTTGAAAAAGCATACACGTACTCTAGTTCATTTTACTGAAATCATGCTGCCTTATTTTGCGTACATTTCTTTGGTGATAATAAGCAAATGTCTGTTGATGAACACACTAACATGTATTAGCTAACATTTCCTTATTTGATGATAATTACCTTTCCCTTTTATAAATGGTAAGGTTTTATAGACATAGAAACACTACTATTGTGTGAATTAGCTATGTCTTTAAAATCCATTGTATGTTTTTCAGCAGCTGCAGCCACTGGGGGCTCTGTTCTCAATGTTGCTGCACTATTGGCGTCAGGAACACAAGTGACTCCTCAGATAGCTATGGCAGCTCAGATGGCAGCCCTGCAAGCCAAAGCCTTGGCAGAGACCGGCATAGCTGTGCCCAGCTACTATAACCCAGCTGCTGTGAATCCAATGAAATTTGCTGAGCAAGAGAAAAAGAGGAAAATGCTCTGGCAAGGCAAGAAAGAAGGCGTAAGTTCTTGTGTTCTTGTCAGTTCACCACTAGCTAATGGTTGCATGAAACAGATTGGAATGAAAGCTGTCGTTTCCAAGAGGCGGTTTATAATGGTCAGGTTTGCCACGATTAAAACTGTGTGTGTGTCCGTGTGTCCGTCCAACTTAGAAAAAAAATATGATTCATTTGCATGCTTCTCAATTGTGACCTTTTTTCGGGTGATAATATTGTGTTGGAATATCCAAATGTTGAATTCATTTGAACCAAGCTTTTGAAGAAAACCAATTGTTTACATACATTTATAAGGAGTGAGGACTAAGCAGCTTGGTAAAAGATACATTGTGAGCCAGGTGTGGTTGCTCATGCCTCTAGTCCAAGCTCTTGAGAGGCTGAGGCAGGTGGATCAGGAGTTCCTAGACAACCTGGGTTACAGAGTGCAATGCTGTCTCAGTAGGCATGGGATATATTATGAGGTGGTGTTCATTTAGGTTTTATTCCTTCATAATTCTAAGAAGTGTTAAGATAGTTACAAATTATAGTAATGGGATTCTTTAAATTGTTTGATTTGCCTATGTTGTGGAATTTATAACATAATAAACTTTTAAGTTTTACATATTCTAAAATTCAGTACTTTTTAACAGGACAAATCTCAATCTGCTGAAATATGGGAAAAATTGAACTTTGGAAACAAGGACCAAAATGTCAAATTTAGGAAGTTAATGGGAATTAAGGTGAGTTTATGCCTCAGGTTTGATCCTAAGTTCCGTTTTCTCAGCTTCATTGATTTCTGACTTCAAAGTATTTCAGTCATATGTCAGTTCCAAGCACTTAGTTGAGGATATCTGTTCTCCAAGTTAATCTCGTAGACATGACTATGCAATAGTCATCCTTACTGTTGGACAATACAGACTGTTTTGACATGTCTGTTGATCATGCCTGCTGAGGCTACTTAGTGAGACCCTATATTTAAAAATCTAAAGCAGCCGGGCAGGGTTGTCACATGCCTTTAATCCCAGCACTTGGGAGGCAGAGCCAGGCGGATCTCTGTGAGTTCAAGGCCAGCCTGGGCTACAGAGCGAGATCCAGGACAGGCACCAAAATTACACAGAGAAACCTTGTCTCGAAAAACAAAATAAAAAAAATCTAAAGCAGGACTGATAATGTAGCTCAGTTGGTAGTTCCTTTGTTTTTGGTTTTTGTTGTTGTTTTGGGTTTTTTCATTTTGTTTTGTGTTTTGAGATAGGATCTTGATGTATATCCTCATCTGGCCCTATTGGTAGAGTCCTTGCTTAGCAGTCTTAATGATCTACATGAGTCAAGTTCATTGGTTTTTGGAAGTAGGGTTTCTCTGTGTTGACCTGGCTGTCTCTGTAGAACTGAGTGCTGGGATTAAAGGCATGTGCCACCACTACCTGGCCAAGTATCATCTTAGGTCACATAAAGAGTTGGATGATAGCCTGGGCTACATAGAAGCCTGTTTCCAATCTTTCTTGGTCTTTTGATGAAAGTTTAAAGAGGAGTAATGAATTTGCTGGGGAAATGCTAATGTTCTTTTAGATGAAAAGTAGCTGAATATGGTGGTGCATTCCTAATCCCAGTACTCAGGAGAGGCAAGCAGATCTCTGTGACTTCAAGGACAGCCAAGGCTACACAAAGAAATGCTTAACCATTTATGTATAGAGAATTAATTTGATGCAAGCCCTGGAAAGATATAAAGAAATGGGCTCTTCGTTGAAGGAGATGTTTGTGTTTAACTTAAGCTGGCTTTTGTTTGTTTGGTATTTATTTAATGAATGTGAGTGCTCTATCTGCATGCATAACTTTATGTTAAAAGAGGGCACCAGATCCCACTATAGATGGTAGTGAGCCACCATGTGGGTCCTGGGAATTGAACTCAGCCTCTGGAAGAGCAGCCAGTGCTCTTAAAGCCATGTCACCCACCCCAGCTGGCTTTTACTTTAACGAAGTAATCTCCATGCGCTCCACCCCACCAATGCCTGCATGGCTTTTTCCTGTTACATCCAATAAAATAGTTAACACTTATGTCCCTGTCCCTGAAACATGTGTATCCCTATTTCACTCTATATATGGCATTTATATGCTTAAGTCTTTGCACTATTCTTGACCACACCACTTCCAGGAAATTATTGTTTGTCATCGTGCTGTGTTCCATACATAGAACAAGTCTTTGTATGTATAACTTCCTATCAAGGTTACTATTTTATATCTGGGGCTGGAGAGATGGCTCAGCTGTTAAAAGCACTTGTTCTTCAAGAGGACCCATTTTGATTCTTAGCACCCACATGGCAGTTCACAACTGGAGAGTCCTAGGGAACCAACACTTTTCTGGTCTCTGCAAACATTGCACACACATGGTGTACCAACCTACATGCAGGTAGTACAACCATGCACACAATAATAAAGTTAAAAATCAATTGTTTGTATGGTATTTAGAGTGAAGATGAAGCTGGCTGTAGCTCGGTTGACGAAGAAAGTTACAAGACTTTGAAGCAACAAGAAGAAGTTTTTCGAAATCTTGATGCTCAGTATGAAATGGCAAGATCACAAACCCACACACAAAGAGGAATGGGTTTGGGTTTCACATCTTCAATGCGTGGAATGGATACAGTTTGAAAACTACCAACTTGGGACTTTATAGACTTGTTCTGATGTCAGGTCCTTGTTCACCAAACAGCTAGTATTCTAGCTTGCATGGGTGTTGCATTGACTTTAATTTATTGAAAAATACGATTTTTTTTGTAAATATCAGATCAGTGATACTGGTGTTAGTGTTGTAATCAGGTTAAACCCACTTCCATTAAACTTGACAGGACTATAGAAGGACAATATTTTTTAGTTCATGAATTCTACTTTTCAAATCTATTAAAGCTTCGGGTGGGATAAAATCTCATACATAGATTTTCTCGTGTCCGCTGTCTTGTGTACTTTTGTACTTAACCTTGTACAGTTATTTTCATCTCTTGAAACATGAAAGAAATGTTAAGTAGATGTTCTTTAGAAGATCTGGCCATTTGGTACATAATCTGCACACATACGCTGGGCAGTGATAATAAAAATGGTTTTCTCAAAACTGGTGTTAATTTAAGTTACCTGGTGTTCTTGTTTGAGTCTGTTGTATGTAGCGTTGATGTTACAATTAAAAAACACTGGCTATAAATGCTTTTTTACAGCAGCTGTTTTAGGGTATAAGCAATACTACAGTGCACAGAAATGTAAAGGGAAGGTGAATGGAGCAAATTTATTAAAATAGTAGTTTTCCTATTATAAGGCAGAATTGATGTGCAGTATTTGTTAGTCCATGTTATTCAGGAAATAGGTTAATGCATTAAAGGGATGTGAGCACTTTTATATTAATAAAGTGCCTTATAACAAGTCCGTTGTATGCTACTTGCTCATTATCCCTTTGCAGTCTTATCAGAAACTGAGACATTAGAAACAACTTTTTTGTGGGGCGGGGGGCGGCACAGACAGGGTTTCTCTGGAACTCACCTTGTAGACCAGGCTGGCCTCAAACTCGGAGATCCACCTGCCAATTCCTCCCGAATGCTGGGATTAAAAGCATAAATACCACCACTTGGCTAGAAACAACTTTGAGGAGCTGAGTATGGGAGTCTGGTTAATAACCCAAGCACCTGGAAGGCTCAAGCTTTGGAATCTTGTTTTGTGTGATGGGTGTTTATGTAAGGAACATCCAGCTAAAATGATGGTGAATGACTTATATAGATCAAAGGAAGGAGCTGCAGGCAAGAATTAAAATTTTTTAAATTTTTTTTATTCGATATGTATACAGTGGTCTGCCTGCATGTATGTCTACAGGCCAGAAGAAGCTATCAGATCTCATTATAGATGGTTGTGAGCCACCATGTGGGTGCTGGGAATTGAACTCAGGACCTCTGGAAGAACAGCCAGTGCTCTTAACCTCTGAGCCATCTCTCCAGCCGAATTAAAATTTTTTGTTTGTTTTTTTGAGACAGTGTTTCTCTGTGTACCTTTAGAGTCTGTCTTGGAACTTGCTTTGTAGACCAGGCTGGCCTTGAACTCACCTTACTCTGCCTCCCGGGTGCTGGGACTAAAAGCGTGCACCACCACCACTTGGCAAGAATTATTTTATGCATACTTGGCAGGAGAATTAATTTTGAACTAGATGTGCTGACCTAGCAAGAGTCAAAAAAAATGTTTTCATAAATAAGGCCGGAAAACTTGGATTCAGTTTCCAGTACATGACAGCCCACAAATTCTTATTCATGTTACCTGGGCTCTGACACCTTCTAACCTCCATGATCAGTGCACATGTATGGTACACATAGATCCAGGCGAAAAACAGGACCAGAAAAATTCTTTTATATAAAGGATAAAGGGTAACATGCTTAGTTTAAATGGGAATCCTTTCACTCTCCCACTCATCCCAATAGCGCTCATTTCTGTAGTTTTTAATCATGAATCCAACCCCCATAGTTCCTCAAAAGTCTAACATTTGTTTTCTTTCTATAAATTATGCCTCTCGGAGAAAGGGAAGAAAGGTTTAGATGCTGGAATCCTATCCCTAGGGAGGCTAAGACAGGAAGATTGCCCCAGGCCTGCCTAGGCAACTCAGAAGGGCCTGGGGAATATAGTGCAGTTGCTCCATTGGCCTAGCCATGGATTTGATCCCCAGCACCAAATGAACTGGGATATGTGAGATCGCAAAAGTCTCCTAAGACCATCGTTGCAAATAGAGCTATTCTCCCAGCTGTATTATGACAAGCTTTCTCTATATAGTCCTGGCTGTCCTGGAATTCGGGGCTGGCCTCAAACTCAGATCCACTTGCCCAGCACATTTTTTTTTTTAAATCACTTGGCTTTTTTTCCCCCACTCATTGATTGGCCCACTGATGGCAAGATGGGTCACCACCAGCTCACCCATTAAAATTTTTTGAGTTCTTATTTTTACCAGGTTGGCTCCAACAGCCACAGACTGATCTGGAAATACGTCCTGAGCATGTGCTAAAGGTGTTTCCATCCCTGGAAGGGCAGACTTTGTTAAATTGGACTAAGTGATGATTGATGTTCGAGTGGATTATTCGTGACCCATCTACCCAGGGAAAGAGATCATGCAAGTCTGTATGTAAAAAATAAACTTGTAAGACCTTAAAGGATTAATAGCCTAGGAGCTTCAGGTGGCCTGAAGAACTTGCAGCAGGAAGAGTTGAGAGGATAACTATAATAGCACGGAGGCTCCTGAGGGGATCAATAGTCCGTAGACCCTATCAGGAGAACTGAAGGATGCCAACACGAGGAGGACCTCCATCAAAATTGTCTTTGAGAAAACAGAAATAGGTCTGCAGACTGAAATATTCCTACACCCAAATTCCCTTCTCTGGCACATAAAACTCCAAGACCCCAGTGCACATCTCTACTCCGGAGAGACCGCTTCGTTCATTTTGATTAGACAGTATGCCTCTGTAGAGATCGGCCTCTTATTTTCATGTTGCCTTCATCAATCTCCATCTGTCAGGTCCAAAGCAAACAGTTCCCCACACCCCAAAAGGCAGTCCAAAGAGCCAGAAATGGGATTTCTGGCAGTTAGATAAAAGCCAGCATTCCTCAGGAATTTGTGAAATTCATTTTCCTTACTTCTGACAGAAGGGACAATATGGCTATCCGTGGTACCGATCAGCATCAAAGCACATGCTGGAATCACAAGTGCCTGTACCTGTCAACACATTTCAAAGTCCACCCCAGCCCCTTCCATCTCCCCTGCCTTAAACTCCCTCCAGCTCACGGGCTCTGCCCTCCTGCCAGCTCCTTATTCTTATAACCCTCTTATTGCTGTGTCCACTCCTGCTATTCTCCCCTCTCTTTGCAGACAGCCCTGGCGATGTCAAGTTTGTTAGCCATTATCTTTTTCTTTTTTTTTTTTTATTGGTTGGTTGGTTGGTTTTTTGAGACAGGATTTCTCTATGTAACAGCCCTAGCTGTTCTGGAACTAGCTCTGTAGACAGGCTGGCCTCAAACTAGCAGAGATCCGCCTATCTCTGCCTATCCGAGGGCTGGGATTAAAAGCAGGGATTAAAAGCTGGGATTAAAATGTTAGCCATTTTCGAGCCGGGCGGTGGTGGCGCACGCCTTTAATCCCAGCACTCGGGAGGCAGAGCCAGGCGGATCTCTGTGAGTTCGAGGCCAGCCTGGGCTACCAAGTGAATTCCAGGAAAGGCGCAAAGCTACACAGAGAAACCCTGTCTCGAAAAACCAAAAAAAAAAAAAAAAAAAAATGTTAGCCATTTTCTGTTCACTATACTCTCTCTGCTCTGGACTCTCTCTAATGCCACTGACTTCTTCCTATCCCAATAAAGACCTTCTACTTAACCATACTATGGATCCACCATGTCATCTGTTTATACGCTAACAAGACCTTTAGGGAAAAAATCATTGAGAAGTGAAACTTTGGTGTTGGAGCTATCTGCAAGTCACCCATATTCCAATAAGTAATGCCCCCCTATTTACTTTTAATTTATCCATGTTCCAATAAGTAATCCTCCCCCCATTTTACTTTATTTTTATTTATTTATTTATTTAGTTGGTTTTATGAGTCAGGGTTTCCCTGAGTAGCTCTTGCTGTCCTGGAACTCACTCTGTAGACCAGAACTCATAGAGATCCACCTGCCTCTACCCCTCGAGTGCTGGGACTAAAGGCATCACCACAAATGCCCAAGTCAACTTTTGACTAGTGTATATGAGGTCCTGAGTTTAATACCCAACACCACTAAAAAAGACTTTGAAAAAATAGATCTTCCACGGGTCTAGTTTGTTCTCTATTGTCTGTAGGATGAATTGCCGCTTCAAGGTATCACATCAAAATAAAACCATCTCCATCACCAAAATGTTTCCGTATCCCATTTGTTTCAAATGACCACTTATTTGACCAGTTTAAGTCCCAACACTGGCAACTACATACTATTCCCTTTCTCTCAATACCTTTAACCAACACACATTCTGCTCTTATTTTTATAATTTATTTGTATTTTATGTACATTGATGTTTTATATGCATGTATGTCTGTTTGAGGGGATCAGATCCCCTAGAACAGGAGTTAGGCAGTTGTAGCTGCCATGTGGGTGCTGGGAATTGAACCTGGGTCCTCTGGAAGAGCAGCCAGTGCTCTTAACCACTGAGCCATCTCTCCAGCTCTTATCTTTCAAATATTTTCTACTTCTACATACCTATTTTCCCCACCACTATCGCTGCTATAATCCAAGCTTGCTTCCCCCACCCCCTTTTCTGTGCTGGAGTGCAAACCCTCAGCATCATACAATCAGAGCTACAATCTCTAGGACCTCACCATCAACCAGTCCCCACAAGCTACAGTTTCCTACTTTACTATGAAAATCTATCCGTCTGTTTGCTAGCCTCAATGAATTGTTTTATTTCGTTTGTGCTCTATCTTTTAATCAAGACTATGTTATCAGAAGATAAGTTTGCTATTACGAACGTACCATCTGTTTAAAATGTTTTAGGATTTAGTTGGTAAGCAGTCTAGGAGAACTTGGCTAATGTTCCAGATTTCATTGTGCTCCATTTTGCTTTTATCTTCATTTTCTTTCTCTACCCTGGCCACCAATTTACCCACTTAATCTTTCCCATTTGGGTTCGAGTTCTTCCCTTCACTGACAGAAACCAACAGGGTATTTTTTTCTTCTTTCTTTTTCTTTCTAAGAAAGGGAGGATAGACAGGCCATCTCATGTAGCCCAGGCTCACCTCAACATTCTCTGAGGATGCACTTGAATTCCCGATTCTAACTATGCCACAGATGACCTGACTATATTGTTTCTTTGTTACACGCTATAATTTCCTGTATTTTTAACATGTGATGACGAATAGCCATTCAAAACCCGCGCGACAAGACAGCAGAAACATTAATAATTACGGGGTTTTCTGGTTTTGTTTTGTTTTGGGGGGGGGGGTTGGTCCCTGATAAGCGGTCAGGAGAACAGACATAGTACTCTGGTCCTAGAGAAGAGTGTCTGACACATTACAGGCAGTGCATATATATTGAATGAATGAATGCTGAACCCACAAAAAGCCTCCTGAGAGAAATCGAAAACAATGTAATGACCTAATTTTGCTTACATTCATTTAAAAAAATAAAACAAGCACAATAAAGTGGCTCGTGTCTACGAGCACAAATGTTGTCTGCAGCAAAGCTAGAGTACCTGTTTTCTCTTTCTGACGTGGGGCAAACGTACCACCGTGTGTCATAAACCATGTATCCGGCTCTGATTCTTCAGCTTTCGAACGCCTAACGCCGACGATCCACATTGTTTTAACTCATTCGGAATCGTTTGAAAAAAAAGATCAATCCCAGTGTGCAATGCAAACTATCAGCCCGGTCGCTTAGAAACCACACATCCCAGGATGCCACGCTCCGGGTCCCAGTCGGCCGGAGGCAGGCGGGAGGCCGTGGCATTCTGGGAGTTGTAGTCTCCGCGCAAGTCCCGCCTCTAGAGCGGCTTTGGAGGCCTGCGTGTGGAGAAAAGCCTCTGGGGAGAGCGGCGCTGCCCTACAACCTTCGCCCCCTGCCCTCCCCTCTTTCCCACAACCCAAAATGGCCGCCGGTGTGGATTTCGGCGACCTAGAGTTATTCGAGGCGTTTGACCCTCCAGAGGAGTCGACCCCGAAGCCCGTTCACACCCGCTTCAAGGACGACGACGACGACGAGGAGGACGACGACGAGGCGAATGGGGCGGGGGACGCGGAGCTCCAGGAGCAGCTCCGGCACTGTGAGGAAACCATCCAGCAACTCCGCGCCGAGAATATCCTTCCGGCTGGGCCCTGTCACCCGGGACTTGGGGTCCCGGGGGCGGCGGGGGGCGGGCGCGGGGGAGATTCCAAGAGGGTCAGCATTCGGAGCCCCTGCTCCCGCGGCTCGGCGGGCGGGCGGGCTCGGGCGGGCTGCGGCCTGCGCGCTCCCCCTCCCGTGGGCGGAGACCCCTTCAGTGTGGACCCCCCGGGTCCCCCACCCAGGGCTGCTCCCTCGCCTAACTTCAGCACCTTCGCAGTCACGTTGTAAACGGCTCCCGACCCTCCTCTCCCTCCCTTTGGGGCCACGCTAGGTTCTTTCCTGGGCTCCGGTGGAGACGGTCGTGATGGATGTTTGGAGACGCGGGGATCGGAGCCCCCACCCCACCCGGGAATGGGATACTTAGGGTGGGGCCCGAGCTCCAGGGGCCACGGGGGTGCAGTGTCGGGGGCGCCTTGAAGAATGAGCTTGCAAAGAGAAATGGTTAATGGGCGCGCGATGGTTTTGCTTTTTAGAGGTCTTCCGCTCCGAGTTAGCTTGCATTGGCAGGGCCCTGGGAAAAACGCGCCAAGTTTCCCTTTGACTTCATTGACATGATTACAGGGTTTCTGGATTTGCTAGTACGTTCACTTTCATTCATAAGTTTCTTAAATCTGCCTTGTACAGTTAGCTTTGGTTCAGGTAACTCTCATGATGATGAGTCCCGAGAGCGGTTGATAATGTCAGCTTTTGAAGTTAAAGCCCGACACTTTATTATGAATATTTATAAAACACTAGCGAGTTGAGAGGTTTGTGCATTTCATATCCATAGATACAGTCCCGCGTTCTTGTTAACATTTCGCTCTATTGCCTTTACTTTGTCATCTATCATGATGCTTTGACATGGGAAGTTTTCCTAATTGGCTGCTTTGGCTCGTTCCAGGAACACCGTTGTCTTAACTGACATTTTGGGTTAATCTCCTAGACTGTTTCTGAACTTCAGTATCATGTCTTAGAATATACGTTCAGAGGGCTGAAAATTGTACTTAATGTTTAGGTCCAAAACTCGAGCTCAGTGTGTCTCCCTCAATATACTTGCAGGTCTTTCCGTTACATTTCTAACATTTGGATAACAAAAGTGGGAGTTATAGTGGTTGAATCTTATGACCTGCATAATTGTGTTTTTTGATGACTGATATTCCTTAATGAGTAATAACATCAGGAACTTAAAAGAAAGTTGAACATTCTGACAAGACCCAGGTATGAGATCTTGATATTCACACCTGAGATGCCTCTTGCTGTTCATCACGTTAATCACGGAGTAAGAGGTGGTGGGATTTTGGTATTACCATTTATTCAGAATACCATGAAGAATTCAGTAACTTCTTTATTGTTGACTTATGGGTATAAAGGAATTCTGGTAAGTGGGTTAAACATTTAAAGGGACTTAATGGGTCACTTTTCTGAATCCCAAAAATTTTGCCTGGTTGTTCAGAAAAGCAAGTCAAACCCAGCTGTTCATATTCAACACACATTTCCAGGAAGATAAAATAAGTTTACAGAAAAGAAATAAGTTTACAGTTACTTTAGCTGATGATTTCTTCACAGATTATTGTTATTGGCTGTTTTTGTATTTTGAGCTGGAGTCGGCTTACTGAGACAGGGTTTCACCTTGTAACTCAAACTAGCCTGGAATTCACTGTATTGCTTAGACTGGCCTTAAATTTATTGGTCCTTGTTCCTCAGCCTTGAAAGTGCTGGAATTGCAGATGTAAGCCGCCACACTAGCATTATTTATACAAGTAAAATATTTGATTAATGCAGATAGTGCATGGTATAGCAGTTCTGTGTTTTGTTGAGACGGTCTCACTGTTGTTGCCTACACTGGCCTCAGCTCACAGTGAAGCTGAGGGGGGCCTTGAACTGCTGACCCTCTGCCTCCCCTGAGTGCTGGGAACGGACCTGGTGGCACCAAGTCTGGCAAAGCATAGCGCTTCAGAAGGGACGGAGAAAAGGCAAAGTGCTTTTGAGGAAGTACAGCGTGTAGGCGTGTATTCAGACATATATGGTCATAGCACACATACTAAATGCTGGCATCTCAATATGAATTTAACAAGTCACTAAATACATGTTTATTTTATTTTATTTTTGAGTCAGGGTCTCACTTTGTAGTTTTGGCTGGCTTGGAGTTCACTTTATATATACCAGGCTGGTTTCTAACCCAGCCGGCTCTTCTTTCCTGGTGCTGGGATTAAAAACACGTGGTACCACTCTGCCTAAAGTACTAATTTATGTGGAATGGTTGGTTCTTCCTCTTTTTTGCCTTTGCTTCCCTATCCCTTCCTTCTCTTTTTTTTCTTTCTTTCAACAGGGTCTGTATAGCCCAGGCTGCCCTCAAACTCACGGCCTGCCTCCTGCCTTAACTTCCCAAGTGCTGGCATTGCAGATAGGAGTCGTGTCCATTTGAAATAGTTTCAGGCTTTGGAACGAGGAGGTTACCCTGTACTTTTTACTGTTTCTTCGTGTACTGGCTAGATTGTGGCTAAATTTTCAGGTGGGGTCTCATGTAGCCTGAGCTATCCTAGGACTCATTATGTAGCTGTGATGATCTTGAACTTTTGATCCTCTGTCTCGACCTTCCCAGTCTTGGTATTACAGGTGTGCATTGTAGGCAAGCCATCAGCTGAGCCACTTTGTCAACTGAGGTCTCTCGTGGTACTAGGTCCTCATACAGTACAGGTCAGGCTACGTAGACTTCACTCTGGCCCATACCGGCCTTAAACTGGGAGCGGTGCTGCCTACGATTCCCAAGTTGTGTGAGTCTTGGATTGTAGTTAAAGCAATGTGCTTTGGCCTCCAGGAGTCTATAATAAAATAAAAATTCATTTATTTATGAAGTGTTTAGTTTTTCTTTATACTTCCAAACCAAATTCATGTGGAAATGTTTGGAAGTATAGTCTTGTAACCTGCCTGCTTGTCCTCTTCCTTGCTGCCCTGATTTGTAAAGAAACTAACCTCTTGTTAAAAAAAACTTTGTTAAAAACTAAAACCAGCCAGGCAGTGGTGGCGCACGCCTTTAATCCCAGCACTCGGGAGGCAGAGCCAGGAGGATCTCTATGAGTTTGAGGCCAGCCTGGTCTACAGAGCAAGTCAGGACAGGCACCAGAACTACACAGAGAAACCCTGTGTTGAAAAACAAAAAACAAAAAAACTAAAAAGATTGACCTATGGTTCTTTGGGGAGTGTGTGAACTTTTTTTTTTTAATGTTGAGATAATTTCTAGGCTAGGCATGGAGGTGCGGGCAGTTAATGATCACTTGGGAAGCAGAGTCAGTATGATCCCTGTGAGTAGCTGGGCACTGGTGGCACACACATTTAGTCCCAGCCCTCGGGAGACACACAGGCAGACACAAACTCTTGTGAGTTTGAGGCCAGCCTGGTTTACAGAGTGAGATCCAGGTCAGGCACCAAAGCTACACAGAGAAACCCTGTCTCGGAAAAAGAAACCCTGCCTCGTAATTAAAAAAAAAAAAAAAAAAAAAAAGGTGTTTGTGGTATAATTAGAATCTAAGCACCCTATCTCAGAAAACAGACAGACACTTGGACTTTCCCCTTCTAGCCTCCCTCCCTGTACACATACGACATGCACCCACACACTGTATTGTGCATACACTGAGTACAACACAATAAAGAGATAGGTTTCAGGGCTGGAGAGATGGCTCAGTGGTTAAGAGTCCTGGCTGCTCATCTAGGGGACCCAGGTTCAGTTCTCAGCACCCTCATGGCAGCTCACACCTGTCTATAACTCCAGTTCCAGGGCTTCTGACACCCTCACACAGACATTTAGGCAAATGAAAATAAATAAATTTACACATTAAATAAAAATAAATTATAAAAAAAGAGATATGTTTTGTTCAAACCACTAGAGATAGTAGACTAGGGGAAAACGTAGATTTTGCATAAGAAAGCTGGAGCTCTTATGCTTATTGTCTTGTCACCTTACTTGTTTGGCTGGACTTGGAAGCCAAGGCCCTTTCGTGTGCTGAGTAAGCTGTCCAGCACAGGCTGCCTCCCCAGCCCTCTTGGTCTTGTTTGCAGAATATTACATGATCTTTAGTCCTTAAGGTTACAGAAGTTAGCGGGCTGTGGTAGTGTACACCTGTGATCCCAGGACTGGGCAGGCTGAAGTAGAAGGATCCCAAGCATGAGGTGAGTAGGGCAACTGAGGAGGCCTTGTCTCAGCGAAGAATAATTGTAATCACAAAACTCATTCTAAGTGCTGTGCATGTACTTGACTGTCTTCTAAGACCATGTTTAACTTCTGTTTTAGTGGCATACTGGTGAGCAATACTAAGATAGATGGACCCTTATTACAAATTCTGTTTATGAACAATGCTATTTCAAAGTAAGTAGTTTTTTTTTCTTACATGTAAGTTTATGTGTATATGAAACTGGATCCTGTAAATAACTGTTTGCATTGTATTTGTATCTTTATTCTTTTTTTATTGCATTTTATTTATTGTGTGTTTTTATGTGTGTGCCATGGTGCAGGAATGTGGTAGTCAAAGGACAACTTGTAGGAGTCAGTTCTTCCTCTGCCATGTGGGTCCAGGGGCTTGAACTCAGGTTGTCAAGCTTGGCTGCAAGCACCTTTACCTGCTAAGCCATCTCGAGGGCCCTCATCTTTATTATTTAAATTGTTTCAGGGTTAAAGTATAAGAGATCATTGTTTTGAGTGAGAGTATGAGAGTCATGGGACCTGAATTTGAGTCTGGACTCCTACATCCGTGAACTGGTGCAGCTCTCAGTACCTGTTAATTTTCTCACTGGAAAACAGTGTGTGCTAATGCTAAATGCCCCTCAGGTCCTTAAATGGAATCTATGAGAGCTCAGGAAGTACCATCTCATAAAAATGCCACCACCACTATAATAACAAGGTTAGCTGCTCCACTCTCATATGTGGATAACAGTTTTCCATATTGGCTGTCTGCAAAGCCTACCCACATCCCACATGGTTATTTTTGGTCAGTAGCAGAACTTGACTTCTGCAAGCCTTCTGGCATGCCTTAATGCAAGGCTCAGTGCACTCCTGCAGTGGCCTGCCCTTCCTGAGTCACTATTATCGTCTTATGCACTGACTATGGACAAGAAGATAAAGGAGTAAGGTCCAGGCCCATCACCTGCTCGTGTAGTCCACGAGTGGAACCCAAGACATTGGGAGCTAGGAGTAGCTTGGATGGTGAGTGTGTGAGCAGCATGAAGCAGGGTGCTCGGCACACCTGGGCTTGGTTACTGTGGAGCCTAGATTAGGAAGGTCTGACTTCAGTACCATCCATCTGTATTCTGCATTCAGAATCTTAGATGCTGGAGCTAGAAAAGACATGAAAGGTCAGGTCTGCCTGAGGTCCCTGGCTGCCTTGTTCCAGCATAACAAAACCTGGACTTCTTTGATACCTGAAGGGATCACTCCAGAATATTTGATCAGTGTGGTTCTTGACCTGGACACCTAGACATCTTTCTTTCTTTCTTTCTTTTTTTTTTTTTTTTTTTTTGCTAATGTATTTTGGTGGTGTCTTTTTTAGTTTCCATGTGAAATGGACATTTCCTTATATGTGCATTGAAAGTCTGAGGAGGATATGGAAAGTCTTAACAAGTTGGATGTCCCTATGTGCGGAAATAGGAGAAAGGAGGAAGGAAGCTTTTCATTATGTAACTCCCTTGGTGGATTTTGTTTGTGTTTGGTTTCGGGGCCAGTGACTTCTCTGTGGTCCTGGCTGGCCTGAGATTTGCAGCTGTCCTACTGCCTCTGCCTGCCTGCGAAAGGCTGGCAGTACAGGCATGCAGCATCATGCCTGCGAAAGGCTGGCAGTACAGGCACGCAGCACCACGCCAGGCTTGTCTCTTGGGTTTTGAGCCATTTGTATGTATCGTCTTAAAGATTAAGTATATGAAATTTATAAATAAAATCTACTTATTCTCCCACCTGTTTGACTGAGGTTCTGTGCCAGACGCCCATAGATGATCAGAATCAAGCTGTTAATGCTGCAACAATACATACATAGAGTCTCTAAGGAGTAGCATTCTGAGTTACAAAGCCCCTAATGTAGCAAACATGAAAAACAAAAATAAATGGGACTTCTTCAACTACTGCAAAGGACTCTGCTAATGTGTCACTCTGTCCAGGTGCTAACCATCTGTCCGTCTTTCCCTCTCCTACAGGCAATACCACCAAGAAATAGAAGAGTTTGTATCAAATTTAGTAAAACAATTTGAGGAACAGCAAAAAAATGACATGGAAAAGACTTCTTTCAGCCTTTTACCCCAGGTATTTTAACCTTGAGGCTCGATGCTAAGTGGTTATGCTTTTTGCTGCCAACTGCTGTTACACTAGAAATCCCCTTGAATCAAAACCAAAATGAGGAAGATTGTGTGCTACTTTGTATCCTGTCACTGGGTTCCTTCTGCAAAGTGACCAGTGCTGCTATGGCTTTCCTCTGAATGTGCCTCCTTTGCTCAGAATAGTTGCGTGAGTGACTATGCCTAAAATTTACGGTGCTCTATTTCCCAACGTGGGCAGAAAATGGGCTGAAGGAGGGGTTTATTTATCTGAGGTTTATAAAAGATGACTTCTTGGGACCAGGGAGGTGGCTCATTGGGTGAGAGGGCTTGCTGTGCAAGTGTGAGAACCTGAGTTTGAATCAGCAATACCCACTCCTTATGTGTAGCCAGCATTTTAAGGGCAGACACAGACAGATCCCAAGAGCTCACGGGCCAGCAAGCGTGGCCAAATGACAAGTTTCCAGGTAAGTGAGAGATCCTACGCCAGGAAGATAAGGTAGAGGGCAAGAGAGGAGGACTGGTCTGTACTGTGTCCTGCTATGGCTTCTGCATGTGTGTGCACAGACAGGCACACCCAGCAACTCAAGTACATACACTTCGGACACTTTTAATCCCAGCATTCAGGAGGCAGAGGCAAGCACTGTGGTCTACGTAGTGAGTTCCAGGATAACTAGGGCTATGTAGAGAGACCCTGTCTCAAAGAAAAAGAAATATGAGGAATTACAGTGTGTGTGTGTGTGTGTGTGTGTGTGTGTATTCAAAAGTGTGGTTTGTTTCCTTTTTTTCTAATATACATTAAGGTAAGTAGACTCTCTCAGCCAGGCATACACAGAGAAGCCCTGTCTCAGGAAAAGGGGGAGAAAAAATCTTTCAATTAAGCAATGATACTTTTTGTCTTCAGGAATTGGAGAAGGAAGTATTTTGTTATTTGAAAATTTTGTTGTTTTGAGACAGGATCTTAACTGTGTAACCCTGGCTGGCTTCAGACTCATAGATTCACCTGCCTCTGCCTCTTGAACGCTAAGATTAAAGGTTTGCACCACCACACTCAGCTGAAAACTTTTTTTTTTTGTTTGTTTGGATTTTTTTGTTTGTTTGTTTGAGGCAGGGTTTCTCTGTGTAGCCTTGGCTATCCTGAAACTCTCTTTGTAGACCAGGCTGGCCTCAAATTCAGAAATTCGCCTGCCTCTGCCTCCCAAGTGCTGGGTTTAAAGGTGTTTGCCACCACGCACGCTCCAAAAATGTTACTTTTGATTCACTAAACATTTCAGAATTTTGTAATTGTTTGAGGTCTATGAGGTTATCAATACTGACTGTTAATGGTTTTTTGCTTGTTTTGGAGTCGGTTTTTTTGTTTTGTTTTGTTTTTTTCTTTTTTTCCAGACAGGGTTTCTCAAGTCTACCTTACTATATAAACATTGTATAGTTTATAAATAATCCTGCCTTAGCTTCTAAATCCATTCTATTGTGACATGATGTTGTATTTATGTATATTATTAAGTGAAAGAAGGGTGTTGAGCTTCCTAAAGTTTGAAAGTCAAAAAGTATTCCTCCAGCTGGAGAGATGGCTCAGTGATTAAGAGCACTGGCTGCTTTTCCAGAGGATCCAGGTTCAGTTCTCAGCACCCACATGGCAGCTCACTGCTGTCTATAACTCCAGTTCCAGGGGATCCGACACTCTCATACAACCATACGTGCAAGCAGAGCACCAATAAATAATGGAACACAAAAGGTATTCATTCCTCTTGTGACTCTTGGTAATGCATGTTGTTTGGTCTCAGCCATCCAGTGTTATGTTGGAAGAGGACCATAAAGTGGAAGAATCGTGTGCCATTAAGAACAACAAGGAAGCTTTCAGTGTAAGTTTGGACTCTTCATTTTTAATTCTGCAGATGTGTGATTCCTGTTTATCAGTTGGGTGGCTTAATGATAAGATGGTGTAGTCCCATGACTTGATAGGATCACAGCATTTTCTTGTAATAAACAGTATTGTAATTGTCATCCTCTAAATATCATTTCTTTAGTGATTGTTGTGTGCTGTTGTGAGGACACTTTATTCACAAGATTTTTTATTCGTCCTGACCAGCCTCTTCATGTTATCTTGAAAATTTTGACCAAAGAAGTAGAAAGCAGACTTGTAAGGCTTACACACAGATGAAGCTGAGAGAAGTCGCTGATGTAACATGGCATGTTTAAAATTTGAAATGTCAGTAGGCTTAATTAGTTTGTAAAAGCAAAAGCTTAACAGGGAGAACCTGTATTTAGGCCTTCCAGTTCTTTTGCAGAATTCATTGGTATCAAACCATTTTGTAGCATACTCACAAATGCTATGGGATATGCCCCCAATAATACCCCAATTTTAAAGACCTGGGGCTGCTGAGATGAAGAAGAGCCACAAGTCTCATGAAAAAACTTGAAAGGAATATTGTGTCTCTGCAAATTCAATAGTAGTTGTTACATACCACGCTTCATAGCATCCCTGGTAGAATGGGGTTAGTGATGGAATTGAGAACAAGAGGTACATTTCAGCTCAGTCTTAGAGAACTCACACAGGTGTGGCCTTGGTGGCTCATCCTTGTAATCCCAGCACCCAGGACAAAGGCAGAAAGGAAAAGGAAAAAGGCTAGCCTGGGCACGCAGCTTAGTGGTAGAGTACTTACTTGGGATGTGTGAGTCGCTGGGTGGTGGTATCATTGCTGTTATTATTCTTAGCCTGGAGAGATAGCTGAGCAGTTAAGGACGTGTGCCACTCTTGTAGAAGAACTGAGTTTGATTCCCAGCACTTAACCTGGGTGCCTCACAACCACAGCTAACTCACTCCAGCTGCAGGGATCCAACACCTCTGGCCTACCCAGGGACTGGCATTTGTGCCACAAACCCTCAAACACGTGCACACACATAATTAAAAATAAAGTAAATCTTTAAAAAATAAGAAACTTGCTCCCTTCCCCTTCCTCCCTTCCCCGCATCAGGTGTGCACACTTCCGCTTCCCCTCCTCTCTTCTCTTCTCTTTTCTCTTCTTCTCTTCTCTTCTCTTCTCTTCTCTTCTCTTCTCTTCTCTTCTCTTCTCTTCTCTTCTCTTCTCTTCTCTTCTCTTCTCTTCTCTTCTCTTCTCTT